TAGCATCTTGCACAACATAAGTTTATGATGAAGAAGGCTGAAACCTAAACCCTTTGTCATGAATTCCTCCAACTGATACAACCATGGAATTTAGCCCCATATTGGCTTTCCCTTTACTTCCTCAATTTCTTCTATCTATCCCCTTTAAATAGGAAGGATAGGAAGGCCTTCTAGTTTATGACTACTTTCTAGGGTTTCCAAGCTTGCAAATTTTAAGATTCTTAATATCTGTTTTTCAGAGATGAATTCCTTCCCATTTTCTGATCTGAAAGAATTTAATCCGAAAAGGATTAAATTCATAATCTCACAATGAAGATGTTTTTATAGTTTCAAATACTTGATGCAATTTTGATACTCAGTCAATGTTCTTTCAAACTTGAGAACTTCATGAGGTTCAACAAGGACAAGTGCAGGGTCCTGCACCTGGGGAGGAATAACCCCAGGCACCAGTACAGATCAGGAGTTGACCTKCTAGAAAGCAGCTCCACAGAGAGGGACCTGGGAGTCCTGGTTGACACCAAGTTAACCATGAGGTAGCAGTGCTCTCGTGGCCAAGAAGGCCAATGGGATTCTGGCCTGCATCAGGAGTAGCATTGTCAGCAGGTTGAGGGAGGTGATTCTGCCCCTCTACTCAGCTCTGGTGAAGCCTCACCTGGGGTACTGTGTGCAGTTCTGGGCTCCCCAGTGCAAGACGGGCATGGAACTGCTAGAGAGAGTCCAGTGGAGTGTAACAAAGATGACTGAGGGACTGGAGCATCTCTCGTATGAGGAAACACCAACTTGGGCCTGTTTAGTCTGGAGAAGAGAAGGTTGAGGGGGGAATCTTAACATGTACAAATACCYGAGGGAAGAACGTAGGGAGGATGGGGTCTAACTCTTCTCAGCGGTGCTCCAGGACAAGGGGCAATGGATACAAGTTGAAATGCAGGAAGTTCYGTCTCCATGTGAGAAAGAACTTCTCCACTGTCAGGGTGACAGAGCCCTGGAACAGGCTGCCCAGGGAGGTTGTGGAGTCTCTTTCTCTGGTCTTTAGAACCCACCTGGATGCCAACCTGTGCCACATACTCTAGGTGTCCCCGCTGGAGCAAGAGGGTTGAACTAGATGACCACTAGAGGTCCCTTCCAACCTTAACCATTCTGTGATTCTGKGATTGAGGCATTTAAACTTCAAATATGCTTCAAACAAGTACGGAATCATTTGTAATACAATCCTGATGACCCCYCAAGGATTTCAAAAATGCTCCTAATTCTGTGGCTTATGTAAAWTTGAGAAGTGCAAATCGTAAATACATAGAAAATGGAAAAGACAAACAAGCTGACTGACAATTACTGACTTTTCACTATGCTACCATGCATTATATGAAATATATCTTTTGGAAAAAAAAGAGACAAAAGACCAAAATAGGGCAGACAAACATTGGAGAGACTTAACACACACACACACACACACATACATAGAGCTAGTATCATTACAATTAATTCCAGTTATAATCACACATGGCTTAACACCAAATGTTGTCCTAGGCTGACCAGATAAACACAGGATGCTAYATACTATCACTGCCACATGCTTTCTCAAGGCTATATTAGCAGTCATGGAAAAATCAATTTGAATACAAATGTAATTTGTTAAAAGAACAGTGAAAATCATTATGCTGGATCACACTGTCAGCAGTTTGCACAGAAGCAGATGTTGGCCAAAGACACAAAAGCATTCAGTAAGACAGTAGAAGACAGGAGAATCTTGGCCTTACAGAGTCTCAGTGATCTTCAGTCTTTCAGTATAGTTATACTAGAAGTTRTACAGTTTTACTATACATATATATACACATATACACATATATAGTATATATTATACAGTTTACCCTCTTGTTTCTCTCAACACTYCTCCTTGCACAGTAAGATGCTTTATAGAAACTTCAGTGCCTCGGAGTACAGTAAGGGTTCTCACAGCAAYAGATAGAAAGCAACATCTTTTCAAGTAGTTCTTTAGAAATCCTAAAATATTTTAATCTCAGGCTCACCAGACATACACATAAACTCAATAAAAAGAAGCTAAATTGGTCTGGTTTTGGCAACATCACCATCATTTTTAGGCAAATCCCACGTAAAAGGCTCAGCAAAAAGCTGACTGAAAAAGTGGGATAAAAACTAAGGATGAGTTCCCAATAAATATCTCTCAAACAGTAAATCATCTTCACAAGATTCTGTTGCAATCACACTGAACATGACATACATATTGAATATACTGATTTGCTATGCACTCACAGTCCTAGCACTGCAGCTTACCCCATTCCATGAGGTAAATCTAAGGACTAAAATAGCCCTCAGTTACAATTATGTTTTCCTATCATTTGATCCCGTAATCTTCACCAACAGTTCTGAAATCTATTGTCAACAGTGTGCTTCACCCTATATGTTGCACAGTAAATCCATAACTCTCCTACAAATACTCTGGGAGTTTCACTATAATGGTATTGATTCAACTTGAATATGTACTACCAGCATAAATTTAGGAAGTGGCATACCCAACATGAAATTCAATAGTTCAGMTTTGACCAAGGAACAGCAAGAGCAGCAAAATTTAACCCTTACAGACATTTTGAAAAAAAAAAATGTGAATAGATACCACTTTTTATAAAAGGCATCTACATCTTTGTTGCAAGCTAAGGTTTAGATATTGGTGCACCCTTGAAGCCTAATTTTGTCATACATATGCATATAAATACATTTGTGAAGATCAAACTCCTGTACCAGTGCATGAGATGGCAAATTTATTAGACTGGATATGACAAAAATTCTAGTCTTGCAGTGGGATGATTTTTAATCATCATCTCTCTTGACTCTCCCCTGCTATTCCCTCTTTTTAAAGATTTGCTAGTATTGTTAAAAAAATGATAAACCAAAATAAATTTGATCACCGATTACTTGTCAAAATCACAGTGAAAGTAAACAGCTAGTATTTTAGAATATGTGATTTTCAGGGAAGCCTATATACAAACATACAAAACCGAAAAACCTGCCCAGCAACAGCACACACCACCTCTTCTACCTTTGCTGTTCTTTAATGGTAAACCTAAAACACAGATCAGGAATGAAATATATGACTTAACTTCAATCTGCAGTTGGAACTTACCCAAAAAGAAATGAGAAAAGAATTGGCCACTGCAGAGATGGCACTACCATAGGTTTTCATTATACATTCATTATACTCCATTAAATAGACTAACAGACAAGTCATTTTCAAACATTGCACARAAAGTTTTGTGCGGTTCAGAAACACATCTCTGAAGAGTTCTAGTTACTTGTGCTGTTACTTTATAATGATTATAACTTTGAGAAGGTCTATTAAAATTGAATGTTATGACAGCGAGCAAAATTAACCTACTATATCAGATCTGTCAAACAGCATTTTCTTCATCTTCAGCATTAAAAGAAAAGACTCTGCAATTTTGTTCTGGTCCTTTTTGAAGCCCAAGGACAAACCTTTAACTAAACGATTACAACTTAATAACTGCAGAACAAATGGATTCTTTCTTCCCATTTCACTTGCTGTAGAAATCTACAAAGTTCTCTTTGTTCAGGAAGTTACCTAAAGATATTTCAACATCATAGACTTAGATGAAAAAGTACCTTAGATGTGAGCCATTCCGAGTATTACAGAAGCCCAATGCGAAGTATTTATGACATGTCTAGACTTTGTGTCGGATACAGTGCCTTTTGCTTAAAAGACTTCAGGCATAAACTGCAGGTACAAGGACAGATTGCATAAGCTATCACATGCTCRCTGCAACCGTGCAAATGTTATTGGATTTTGAGAAGCCACCATGATGAATAATTTAAGAGCTAATAAAATATTCAATTTTACTGATACATTGGTTTCACTTTAAAATAATAATAAGGAAAAAAAATACAAATAAAAATGAGAACGGCTCTAAAAGTTAATGAAATTAGCCTGACACCCCTTAGGAGTTGTTCTCCTGAGCTTCGGGAGATAGAGCCAGGTCTAAGCGAGGTCTTTAACCCTGGCGAGATGTTTTCTCTCGTGTACCACAGGGCAGGAGCAGGGCAGCCTCCGCACAGCGGCCCCGCTCGCAAGTTTGTCAGGACCGGCGCACGTTGAGGCTCCCGGCTGCGGGGAGCTCGCGGAGCTGCCGCGCGGGGCCGGTGCCGCGCGGCGCGCATGGACAGATGGACACGGGCGGATACAGCGACACGGGCAGAGTCGGTCCTGGAGCCGGCCGCGGACCCGCCGCCCGCTGCGCATCTCCGCGCCCGGTGGACCCGCTGCCTCCGCGCTCTGCSGACGCCCCAGGGCGTCGGGACCCGGGCAAGACGAGCCCTCAACTTTTTTTTTTCCTCCCCCCCGCCCCGGAGATTTTTTTAAAAAATCCCTAACACACCGGGGTGAAGTCCATTTTTTAAAATAAAAATAAAGAGCACAACTCCAAGAGCTCAAGAAAAAGAACTCAAGTTCTTTTTCCCCTCCCAGGGATTTTTTTTTTTTTCCTCCCCAGGGAGGAGGGAGAGGAGATGGACAAGCTGCGTCGGCGTTTCAGAGGCAGATCGCCCTAGTTAGAGGGAGGCTGCAAACGGGGAGGCCGGCAGAGCTGTCCGTGACAGCCGCTGAAGCCTCCCTGCATGTGTTTGCAAACTCCGCGTTTCACCGGGTCTCCGGCAGCGACCTCGCCGCTTCCCGGCTGGAAGCAGGACCGGCTAGGGAACACGCGGAACGTTCCGCGGATCTCACTAAGTCTGCCGATGCGCTGCTCGGGATTTACACCTAAGCCCTTGCGGCGCCGCGTCCCCCGCTAGTCCCGCGCAGTTTCCGAGCAGAACCTGCCCGCGGACGGCTCCGCCGCGGCAGGAGCCCGGGGTCTGCTCCACGCAGAGGCAAGTGATGCCGCTGCAGGGGGGAGCGCCCMAAGCCCACGCGGGACGCGCCGCTGCCGCCCCCGCCCCGTCCCCGCGGCCGCAGCAGCCCCGGCGCGGCCGCTCACCTCGGGCGCGGCGCGGCACGGCCAGGCCCCCGCAGAGCACCAGCCAGGCCAGCACGGCGCGACTCATGGTCCTCCCGCGGCGGGGCAGCGCGCGCCGGCTCCACAGAGAACGCGCGGGGACGGCAGCGATGCTCCGGCGCAGCAGCCAAGCGCCCTTCCGCGGGCTGCCTCCGCCCTCGCCCGCGCGGCTCCGCCCCAGCAGCGGCGGCGGGTGGGCGAGATCCCGGAACAGGGCGGCACGGCTCGGGCTGCCGCGCCTCCAGCAGGGCCGGCTCGCGCTG